CATCATCATCATCATCATCATCATCATCATCATCATCATCATCATCACCCACCACTCATCATCATCACCCACCACTCATCACTCATCACTCATCACTCATCCTTTGCTGATCATGGGGTCTTGCCCCATGAGATACCCAGCCTTTCTCGGCGCCAGGTTCCCGTCGAGGTGTTTCTACGATGGCACTTTGACCAACGGGCCCGCCACAGCGACACATCGTCCGAAGATCCCCGGGCTGCTTGGCCAGAATGAGGGTGTGGAGAGACCAACGTTGCGTTCGAGCTCAAGATAGGGAGGAGGTCCAGAATGATTCAGAATTAATTTGTTGGAATTGGGATGCTTGTATCATGTGAATCACTATGAAACGCATATCCAATCTCCAGTTAAATTTATAGATATTTAGACACCTCCACAAGAGACTGACTGGCGCTGGTTTCCAACCTGGGCTGGATTTGCCCAGAACGTTCGCAAGGTCGGGGTTCGGGATAGCCAAATGTTGGGAGTGCGAACCCACAGAAAAGCAGGTCTTCGAAGGTCTTTGACATTCCATGGCGGACCACTATTGGCAAGACTCCGGCTTTCCAGATTAACGTTACATGAGCAATCAATCGAGCATCGCCGTTTGGTGATTAAATGGTGTTCAGAAGAACAATTCGCTGTTTTGAAGGCCCTGATAAGATATATTAGGTTCAAAGGCCTCTTGACTAAATTGATCAAAGCGCTGTGGACTTGGGCTTCCAAGGATCTTCCAAGCGTTTTTGGGTTTGTTTGCCAAACAACGGCTCCTTTTGAGAGGCTCCCGGTGTCCCACATGAAGAACACATGTGTCCCAAAAGAGTCCCACGAGACCCTGTGTCCAAGGGCCCCGGGGTCTTTGGCTGAGACCCAGGCGGACAGGGAGGGCAGGCCACTACCCCACCCCCTGTCGTAGGGTCCTGAGGGGATGAGCATAGCGAGAGATCCGTTCCAGCACGACCGGAGAAACCGAGGTTCCCATGGCCGAGCGAAGAGGTTCAGGTGGCCTTCGTGGAATGTGGCGCTTTGAAGGGCCAGGAGCGGAAACCGCGCCTGTGCTGGCCAACGGCAGGTGCAGGTGAGCTGGTACCCTTTCAGCAAGGGTACACCTGATAAAGGTGGGGTGATTGGTGAGTTTCCTCCAACGTGCTGAACCCCTTCTGAGGCGCCTTTTGTTGGAGGTTACTCAGCAAGTTCAAGGCAAGTCGCCCAAATGCAGCCCCAAAAAATATCATTATTGGACTTTGGGAGGCTCGGGAGGCTGCCCAGCTAAGCCCGTCATCGGCCTCCGTGGATGGGACACGGATTCCAAGAGAAACCAAAAACATGGAGAAACCCACAGGGTTTGGGGACCTACGGATGAATGTTAGCGCTGTTTTCGGATGATGTGTGGTCCAACATGTGCTTTTGGACCCAAAACACTCGTCGATACGGAAAGCATATGCAACAAATGCTGGGGATCGAAACCAATAAACAGATATACTGCATGTAGCAGACAAGTTGTTCATAGAGGAGCAACGCTGGTCCCTCAAGCAATATAGTTTCCGTCACTGTTTTGAATTTGCGTCCACGCTGCAGGGTATCACTCTTGAATGGCCATCCTTCTACGGTGATCTACGGGTGCCAAGTCCAAAATTGCTCAGCCAAGATCCGAGCAAGAGTGCTAATGTCATTGAAAAGCAACAACTGCTCCTTCAGCAAGGTGCTAGAATAAGAAGCTTCTGGTTTTCCTCCAGTTTTGTTTCGCCTGTCCCGGATGGGCGGAAAGAGATCAAAAGAGATCAAACGAGCAGCCTGTCCCTTCTGTGAGTCCAAAGGTTGTTGCAAGACATCAATCTCGCTTGGAAAGCTCTGGTTTGGTTCACACGCAGGTTACACACCGGTTTCTGCTTGCATGTCGGGTCTCAGCTCATCCCCTGAATAGGAACTCTTAATTAAGTTATACAGTTTGTATACAGCTTGTATACTGTCCCATTTCAAGGCCAGATTTCTGAGGTCTCCGCGCCACTTTCGGCATGTTTTCGAACTCACCGAACTTCTCGTGATGGCGCACTGGCACCACCTACGAGACCCGAAGGTTCGGTATATACACGAGGTGACGTTTGGAATGCCTAAGTTCAGGGTCCACCCTTTGAGTCCCTAAACCCACCCGGATCGTCGTCTCTCCGAACAGACGTAGCTGTTCGTGCTTCCCCCGGGATGTCCAGTTCGACTGGTCGCTTCGCTTGTTGAAGTCTAGCGAAGTCTAGCGGCTAGGGGACCCGGGTTCATCCATGTGCATCAGGTCCCCCTCTTTTTTGGGAGAGACCATTCTGATTGGTGCGACCCGTAGGGAATGAGGGAATGAGGGTGGCTGAGCCCCAATAGAGATTCCTTTGGGTCCAGCCACCCTCATTCCCTACGAGTCGCACCACTCAGTTTTAGAGACCAAAAGACTCTGACAGCGGAGCCTCCGCCCCTCTCAGCTCCATGTACCGTCCAGGAGGGTGGTCGTAGCCATGAGAATCCCGAGGAGGTCGGAACACCGGTCGTCCGCCCCGTCCGACTGGGGAGCCGATCTGGAACGGGGACATCCAGTTCGGGAGGTGGAACATGACGTGGACGGAGCGAAAGTGGATCCTGAAGGAAGAAGGAGATGGAGTTTCTCTTATCCCAAACGCGTCAGGAACTGGCATGGGACTGGCAGGTGTTTGCCTACATTCAAGAACAACATGGAAGTGGAACGTGAGGATCCTATAGGCTTATAGGCTTTCGGGGCCGTGCCGCAAGGGGCCGTGAACTCCCCAGCCTATTGGTGCTTGCTTGTGGGGAGTTCTTTGCGTTCTTTTTGTGAAGATTCTTTGCATGAAAACACCATGAGATGCAACAAGTCTTTTGCGCGCGACACCTCGACAGAAATCCACCTGGCTCGACATCGCACCACAGACTGGAGCTGATACTCGTTCCGCACCGGACCCAGAAGTTTGTTGCCCCACTCGACAGGCGGAAGCGCTGATCATGGTCTTGGAGCATTGTTTGCGGCAAGGGCTCAAGCCATCCCAGGACAGACCGCAGGGAGACGTGCAGAGCATTTGTTGGGGGGGTGCTTGTGAGTGCTCGGAGACTTGGCGCATGTGATCATGAGCAAGAGACCTAATCCATGTTGGAATCAGTTCTCGTATGCATTGTGTATCACCTTGTCCTTCTCACTCACTGCTCTCACAACTGTTGTGTTTATAGTTGTGTTTATACGTCAGACGCACAACATCGCACAACTATGCACGGGCGCGGTTCTCTCCGCACTTCAAGGGGACACCATGAGGACTACTAGGATTTCAGAACTAGCTTAGCTTGAACATGCTTGAACGAGTGGTGATTCACATGGAGCTTCGCCAAAATCTTTGGGAATTGGCATCGAGCCCAAGTCCTGGGGTTGTAGCATGTGTGCACTCAAAATCACTCAAAGATGGAAGACGGTTTGGTAGGTTTTTCGCGAATTTCCATGGCTTAGAAAACACCCGGTGGATTGAGCAACCAGATGCAACAAGTAGTTTAAGCATTTTTGACTCAGTCTATAGTTACACAAAATACCGACAACATATCATAATATATTATGACGGATGAATGTACGGCGATATTCTCGCGGAATTTGGCAAGTGTTGAAACTCCAAATTTGCACACGTTGCCTTAGATCCGCATGGATCTTAAATCATAAAACGATGAATGTGATGAACTGAGTACACCCGGGAAGAGACCCACATGCAAACCTCAAAATACACGACTGATTTTCCTCTACAATCCCAGTGGTTTTCAGATTACATGTTGAGCTTCCAAATGTTTGACCCGGTTCACCAGTGCCGACCCACCAACTTCTTGGTGGAGTCGCTCAGATCTGAGTCACTCACCGGGGTCGGATCCGCAATGGATGGATGTACTTTGTTCGCACGCGTAGATGGGCCTGATCATCCGACAGTGACACGTAGTGTTTTTCTTTCCCAACACACACTTTCCGTGTGTTTTCTTTTTCCCTCTAATCGACGACGGCATCATCACCGGCATCACCACGCAGAGGTGGGCATCATCACCGGCTATTCCGCGCAGCAGGCGGAGTGGGATCACGGATGACGAGTGGGTCACTGGTCACTGGTCATCCACATCAAGGACGTTTGCCAAGAATGCCAAGAAACAGGTCGGTGTTTTAGGTCACTTTTGCGTCCAGAATCAGTGATAGCAGTGACCGCTGTGATTTTTCGCACTGTTTTGTTCCACGAATCGGAAGTGGCAAGATGTTGCAAGCAGGGGAGAGGTGTCGCACCTGAATCAAGAGCGTGTAAGGTGTGGCAACAAAAAGAAACATCATTGCAATATATTGCAATGCACATGTTTGATTGTTTTTTGTCCGACGGATAGTGGGCAGACATGTGTTAACTTGTGAGCAGACTGCCCTGCTTGGGAAGCCGAGTGTGTCAGCCGCCCTGTCCGGTCCTGGAACCACTGGAAGCCGGGAAACCGGGTCAGAGGAGTTGCTGCGGCGCTTGTGGTCCCAGCTGGCGCCACGGCTGAATCTTCAAGCCAAGGAGCTTCGTGTCGGGGAGCCCGCTTGAGCTGCGTAGGGAGGAGCACGGTGCTAAGGTGACAGACCTGGAGGGACAGATGCTTGGTATATTGATGTATATTGCTTTGTGATGGTTTTCTGTTTGGGTCCAAAGTCATGTTTTGTATTTGCATCATGATTTGATATAGCTATCTTAAACTTGTGTGTTCCTAAAGGAGCTTCGTTTTTGTTGTCCTAAAACATATATGACTCCGGAAGGAGGGAATAGACCTCACAAGATCCAGACACCCATTGGGACCCCATTCCTGGGGGTTTCTTGCTGCGCATGGTATGTTTAGCCCCACCTGTCAGGTGAGGGTTGTTAGATTCTATGTCAGCTGCCTTGCTACTCTCCTCCTCTCCTCCTCCTCCTCCTCGTCCTGCTGGTCCTCTGCCTCCTCAACCGCGAGTGTCGGATGGCAGTGTTCCCCGCCGGACCTCAACCGCAAGCAGTGTTCCCTGCCGTACCCCAGCTAACTGCAAGTGTAGGATGGCAGCTTTCCCCGCCGGACCTCAACCGCCAGCTCCGGATAAAATCGTCTCCAGAAGGGCTGCCAGGTGTTCGTTGATTCATGTTGATTCAGAGCTTGAGGAATATCACAGTCGTTGCGTGATCCCTGTAATTATTCACGATACTTACTTAGTATAACTTAATAGTCTGTTAACTTAATTAATTAGATATATTTTTGTAATTTTAAATGAATGGTTGCCCGCGGATCCCCAGCGTTTCCCGCCGCGGCCATATCTGACGGTCTCTCGCCATCGCAGTCGACGAGTGAAGCTCTCGCCTCTCAGGTGGACACGGTGGATGGCTTTCAGGCCGCACCCGACGCGTGGATCGGCGAAGAAGCACTGCAAGTGCGAGACCCGGGGCAGATGAGGATCTGGTCCTTTCACCTGCTTTCCGAGGTGAAGTGAAGTTCCGCGGACTAAAAAGATGGCACCATTTCTACCGGACACTGCACTCTTGCTGTCAACCCATCAGATGGGGGACGTACTGCGATGTTTCCCGAGCCTTCGCGCGCCCGCGCGGGCGGCTTTACGACCCGCAGCCAGGGCGCAGAGCGAGACTTGATCCTGGCCTCCACAGCCGGGGCGTCGAAGAGAGCGGTGCGATGAAAGCGCGAGAACGGAGCGTTCTATGATCAATTAATATCAATTATACCCTAGCCTTCCAAGACCATTTAAAAAATGGTTGAACTGGCTCTTGGTGTGTGAAGTCCTTAGCTGGTTCGGTAAAGCCTATTGAATGAATGGTTGTTGGAAGCCTAGGGTATATATATATGTTCTATTCCATGTCGATCTTGCGGGCACAAAACGATGTATGATGTCATATGATGTTGCATATGCATGTATTATATACATCATTTTTGTGATGTCATTTGTGTGTTTAGCTATAGGGTAACCCCCCGTATTGTCCCCTTTTTGCTCACCACCATGCTTTCCACATCAGGGCGAACCAAGTCGCATTAACATCACTCAGGAAAGATCGCTATTCCATAGCGAATCGCTGTCGTGAAATACATATACGCAGACCCCAAACAAACCCGTGGAAGAACCATCCAAATCCCGTTGGGATTGATTCCTCTTTGTCTCTTTGTGCCGTCTCATTGATGGCGTTTGGATCGTTGTACTTCTGCCCCTTTCTGCATCGACCGTCTGAACGGCCGGAAAGGGCGGCGGGAACGGCCTTCCAGCAGATGGTCCCAGCTTGGAAGGATGGTCTATGGCCCTGGCCAGATCAAGAAGTAGGGGTTCACACGGTCCACGCTTCCAGTCACATGGTTTGTGCTCACCCGCTCATAAAAAGGGATGACGGAAAGCGCACGTTGGGGATCTTGCGTGAAGCGTGCCAAGATTGACTGATCATAATATATATAGAGAGAGAGAGAGACAGTATATTATATATAAATCCAGCTTGAGGGACCTCACTCCTCACGCAAAAGTCCTTCCCAGGTGCCGCCCCCACGAAGTCACACCTCCCAGTCCTCCCAGCGTTCGGCTTCAGCTCGGCCGCGCGGACACTCGCCGAACGAAGCCGACATGGAGTTGTTGCCCCAAACGGAGATGAAACGCGCCCCACCCAGGTGCGCTCCTTCTTCGAGGCGACTTGGGGGTGACCGGCGGGTTTGGGCACGGGTTGACCTAGAAGGTGCCGCTGGTTGAGTGCACGCTGGTGAAGCCGCGGGACCATGGTGCAAGACGGCATGAAGATGAAGAAATGGGTGGAACAAATTGAACGAGTCACACTAGTAGGGTCAGGCAAAAAACCATATGAAGCACACTTCTGTGACATACATGGTGACATCCATCATACATAGACCTCATATGATCACAGAGACCTCCGGGACTCCGCATCGCCCAGGTTGGTTTCATGAGAGATCCCCGTCGCGTCAACGTGATGCTCACGCGTGCCATGGCCAATGAGTCCGATTCCCTCCCGGTCGTGATCGACGAATCGGAACGACCCCGCAAGGGGGAACGGTTGGTTGGTAGGCTTGCCTTGGTTTTGCAATGGTTTCTCGGGGGTTTCATTCCGGATTCGGGAGGAAACCCGTGATACATCGGTGCTTGGAATATGTTGGAATCCGGCATCAAAATGGATTGGTTTGGTGTTGGGATTGGAATCCCCTGGATTGCTGGCCTAATGGATTGGACATTTCATGAAATTTCCCTGTTTGTTGGTCCATCGCATGCCCCGCCTGAGAGAGAATGTGGAAACATGGCTCCGTGGACTTCTTGTAGTGACAGGTTTGAGCGCAGCAAGCAGCGCAAGGTCAACCAGCTTCTCCAACCTGAGCTTTCATTTTTGGGTAAGAGAGTGACGCTGCAAAGAAATTTGATTGATGAGATAGAAGATGATGAAGAGGAACATATCTTGACAATGCCAGATTCTGATGCCAACCAATTTCTCAAGAGCCTGTTCATGCCTGTTCAATGGTTCTCAGCAAAAAGAGTTGTTGTTTTCTTTATACGTTACCCTGCAAGTAGAAGCGGAGACGTCCTGACTGTTCCCGTTCTGCTTAACACAGTAACACTTCCCATTGACTTACCGTACTGCTTCAATCAACATGCAAATAAACATTGAATCGAGGCCAAAGCCATAGTCATCGCATAGCAATGCATACTGGATCTTCGAAACGGCACAAATACTGTATCATTGTAAGCTTACATATTTAGTACTCAAGAAAACATGCTTCTACGGTGTGTTTTTTTGTTTTCCTGGAAGACGGTGAACCGGCGTCTTGAGGCGGTGGACCCCTCCGTCTTTCCCCGTCGGGTGTGCGAGCACATGTCATGCGGCAAAAGGTGGCGGCACCCGAAGACACTTCGAATGAGAGGTGGAGAGATCGGAGGTGTCCACCTTTCCAAAAGCACCTTTCGCTTCGGTTTTTTCCGGAGATGTTCCCAATGATCCGTCACTCCTTCCGTGCCTTCCACCCGACCGGACCAAGCCCGGGATCCACGATGGGCTTTGGAGACGTCGGTCCGTGGCGAGATCGCCAGGTGCCCGGCGTGGGCTCATTGTCTTCGGGAACGCCCCGACGCTCCACACCGAGGCGCTCCGCGGTGACGGCCGGGTCGGGGGCGGTTCGTCGATGGCGTCGAGGGTCCCCAAAGACGAGGGAGTGACTCAGGAGCGTCTCGAAGGCTTTCAGAATGAGATCGGAAGAGCTTAGGGTGTGTCCCAAGTAAGAGTTGGTACTGGTATAGAAGATGTAATATTATATAATTACACTATATCTTTGAGATGTCGGCCTTTAGTAATCATCATCATCATCCACGGTTGCTGGTAATGGGATGTACCACAAGCTTTCCAAGAGGATGCAAGATGTTGGGTGTGTTGGCTGACCCCTGCTTCAGCAGAACTTTAGGTCAGCGATCCACAATGAGTCAGCCGGACGGTGAAAATCCTAGCTGGATTCTGATGGGTTCCTCCGTAGCTTACTGTGCACTCCACCCTTAGCTTATTTACTCTCTAAATTCCCATCGAAACTTCCAACATCACTGGGAATGAGCAAGCGCAGCGCTGCAGCACCCAGAAATAGTTATATTTATATCCCTTTTCATATAGGTCCTCCATCCCACAGACATGTCTTGAAATGGCGGTCATTCGTCAGTGCTCCGATAATTTCACATCAGTGGTTCCGATATCCTCCCTGAGTTCAACTGACTCATGATCATTCCTGCATGCTAAAACGACTCAAGACATCGTAAGGTTCGATTTTTTGTTTTAGGCCGGCGATGTCGCCAGCCCCTTGAAACTACTTGCTGTGAATTGTGATGCAGCAAGTAGATACCCCCCCGCAAGGCTTTTGCCTTAATTTCCAAATGGTGATTTGTAATGATGTATATGGCCTTTGCCAAAGATGGTCTTTGGCGAGGAATTCTGGGTGGCTGTATATTGAATTTGTTCATGGCATTGCAAGTCTCTCCTTTGAGGATTCCGCCCTCACAAATATGTGCATCAACTCTATGTGTCTGTTGAGTTGCTTTGGGTCTGAGTCTGGATCGATCCAGAATTGCAATGGCAGGCCTGCACATGCCATGAAACCGCTGCGTGCAGATCGACTCACAGTTGGGCTCGACGCCCGTATTCACCATCTTTCATCTTTCCTTCACTTGCACCCCCAAGGCCACCTCTATGGAAACCATTGGACACCGGGTTCCAAGTTCTCATTTTACATCCCTTTACACACCTCATTTGGCCAGTTGCCAAACACAAGCCATCCGGCTAAGTGTTTCGCACTCCGCTGGGCAATCCAGCAGATAGCATCGGATCTGTCGCACCGAAAATCAGATGAATACGTGGAAGCCTTGGATCGAGTGGATGGAGACCAGGACGGCGGCATCTCGGATCCCCCGGACGAAAACACGGTTCGTTCACGGTTCAAGGCCATGGGAAAGGCCAACCGTCGCGTTGGCGTCGTTCTGCTTTTTTGATGAGTGATATGTTGTAAGCAGTCCAAAACACACATATCAAGACATCAAAGACTTGCACGGCTATACACCAAGGTCCCATAAACATCCATGATCCCAGTATCTAGAGTCTAGGCCTGTCTATAGATACTGGACCCACCCAACCGCTTTGTTCATTGATGTCAACTTTACCCACCCAACCGCTTTGTTCATTGATGTCAACTTTGGATTTGTTTTGCAATGATGGCAACAAGAAGTCCCATATTTTCGGGGCATGCACGGCTAGGCTATGCTAGGCTGCATAACCCTGGAAGAGTGGATCCTGTAAGATGATGTAGGATGTAAGTTATATCAGCTTCGTTTGATTGAGAAGGCAAAATCCAGAAATACATTGTCAATAATCATCAGGTTGATTCAATTTGTATTATACATCATAGGATATACATAGGTCAAATCGACGTGAAACCCATGTATATACGACACAGGTCGTTATCTGAAGTACGGCAGCAAAGAAGACACCCTATATATAATATATGGATCCACTGCCACTCGCTCAGAGGGTGATGTGTGGCTTTAGCCAGGGTCCAGTCGTACCTTTTCCTGAGAAGGCGGCAGTGGATCCCCAAACAAGGAAGCAAGAACCATGCCAAAAAGCACTGCACCCCAGCCCACCAGCTCAGCCGCAGCTCGTTTTTTTCGGTTCGCTCGGCCAGGAGGGTCGGTGTGCCGCTGGAGACCCTGAAGGAGCAGCTGGACGAGCAGCTGAGACATCAGGTCCGGAACTCTGCTCTGAACCGCTTGAAGCCACTATCCATGACAAGCTCTTGGGATATTTTTGTTGATCTCTATGTCCCGGACTGTTGGATAAGTGTATCCCCGGGCTGTTGGATCGGCTTGTAGAGGGGTGTTTTCGACGATGTTTTCGGGGGCGTCCTTCTAAGATAATTGGATATGACTTGTACAGTTTCTTCTAGAAAAACAGACAATGCCATGGGGATCTTCTGGCCTGGATCTTCCGTGAGCCACGTCATGCGTGAGCAACACGTGAGCAACTGTGTGAGCACGCTGTCCAGGACCAGTGGGAGACTTACGTGAGCTCCCCAGAGGGGATTTCATGGCCACAGACGGGCACGGACCACTTTTGCTGTGGCTCAAATTGTCACTAAGTGATACTAAGTGATACTAAGTGGATAATTACTGGTTTGTTTGCAGACTGTCATTCAGAGAGGTCCCTTGCGAAAGAGATCCCGGTGGTTAATCTATGTTGGGATATCTATTAATATATATATATATTATATATTGTAATATATTGCCTTTGACCATGGGCAGAACCGTCCGGTGAGGAGGCCTCCAGCTTTGAGTGTACCGAGGTCGATCCAGACTCGGACAGGAAATGGCAGTACAATAAGGCGCAGTGGGCCGTTAGATCAGGACTGCTGTGCCGAGGCACTGCCGCATGTTCATCTTTTTAGACCCAGTCCAAGGCGGAAGGACGTCGCGTCCTTCTTTCCACACTGGGACTGTATGTCCCCAGACCATCCATGGGACTGGCTTATTGACCAACATTGGGGTGGTTGACCTGGGGTCATATCTTATCATCAATTCATTATATATATATATATACCTAGCGCTTCCAAGGGGTGCCCAATGGAGACCTGTAAGTAGTGTGGAGATATCCATTGGTGATCCCGAACGGAAGCAGCTGGATACTATATCATTGATATTTAGAGATGGAAAGGGCAACCAGGCCCCATCCACTCCCCAGCTGGTATATATATACTACAATATTCATTCGTGTATTCCATTCATGTATGGATGGTCTGGGACCTGGGCTGGTTTCCGCTGGCTGGTGCCCGAGTTCGGACTGCCATGGAAAAAGCATCACTGGCAGTGACACAGAAATCGTTTTAATGGTCTGAGTTGAGATGTACGCGCGTGTACACAGGGCCTTAAAACATGTTTATGGTATGTTTAAACACGCAGGTACACCGAACACGCAGTGGTGCTATGTATATAGACTATGTATAGATATCATTATTTGGAACCATGGATGAGTTGCATACGTCTTTTTGCAAATAAGTAAATCCACAACCGGTGGAGTTGTGGGCACTGTGGCAGAACCGGTCATGGATACAGCTCGGTACACAGCTCGGTCTCTCCAGCCTCAGGTCGCTCTTCAAAGCATTTGTTTGTTTGGTCGCAGCAGTTGCACGGACCGCGCACCAAGGTCAGACCCTGAAAACGCATCTGGGAAGAGAAAGGACACTCGCCAAGCCAAATGCGTTATTATAGTCCTGAAACAAAAAACATGCATTTATAAGATTTATGGAATTGACTGAAGGAGCCTGGTGTTGATGTCCAGGTTGCACATCAATGCGAGCCACAAGGTAAGAAGATGTACTTTAAACCATTGCGTCCAGGCATTGAGAGCCATATGGCAGCCACGCATTTTGCTGTTTCATGTGGCATGGCAGATGCATATGCGTTTACCAGCATCCCACAACTGCATAAAGATGCTGACAACAACAGCAAGAAAACACAATTAACAGGCAGCGCCCCAAACGCACCCAAACGCGGCGGACACGCAGACACGGAAAACAATTAGTTCGTTCATTGCTTTGGGGCCGGTGGGTTTTTTAGATGTGTTGTGTTGTGCATGGGCCCACATCGGCCTCATCACCGGATGGTTGGTCACGCATCTGTCGCCACAACGATCAGTTTGTCATCCAGTGAACCACTGGTTTCGGCCTCGCACATGACTGCGACAGATGCGTATGGTTCTTTGGTCATGGACCACATTGGACCACCATTGGGCCATGGGCCATCTCACTTCGATGCTTTGTTCTGGCTTGGCTTTGCTCACGGACAGGAAAACGTCATGAGTCAGCTTGAAGGAGATGTAGAGTGATCAGAGCTGCGACTTCCGACCTTGTTCAGACCAGGAGGACCTGTGACCCCTACACTCCCTGGAACTAACATGAGTATGTGGAAAATGGCCCCCTTGGAGACCATTTCCCTCTACAAACCTGGGGTGAACTCCACTGCCATGTTAGTTCCAAGGAGACTACAAAAACCATACAAAACCCCCAGTGCTTTTGTGGCACCAGGCTGGATTGCTTCTCTCCGCATCGGTCGCTTGTGGCACACGACAGGTCACTGAAGATTGCAGGTGGATCGACTGAGACGACTAGGGCCGACGCATGAGACGACTCGGCACGACTCGGGCCGCAGCACGGCTCCCGCCGTTTCCGGGCTCGGTCCGATCTGGGCGAGCGGACCGGTGGTGACCGGTGACCGCGGCGGCGGGGGGAGCTGTCTTGGTGGAGTCAGGTGGAGCTTCGACCTGTTCCTGGAAGACTCGGCTCCAAGCCGTGAATTTCACGGCCATCATGCGGCCGTGCACACGACGCAAGCGAGTGCAACCTTGGGGAAGGTTGCAACGGGCCTGGTGGAACCATCCCACCAACTTGACTTGTGGCGGAAGGACGTGGGACAAAGCAAATTACTTGATTTAATTTATTATGTTTTGTGTGTGTTTTTTGTTTGTTTGTTTTGTTTTTACATGATACAAGCTTTCTGGGAGGAATCGTACTCACAAAGTTGTGTTTCTTGAAACAAGTTCCCCTTGTGGTTTGTGGTGAAACAATGGGCAAGTCCGGTCACCAATGGTTCGTTGCCACGAGCCTCATAGAGTCCCATTTGGTCAAGTTTGAAAGGACACTCATTGACTCAGTGACTTAGTGACTGAGTGGGTCTTGTGAAACAAGCGCGGCTGGCCCGCATATCCACATCCCTGCCCGACCAGAGCTTGAAATGGTACGTACGTATCGATCGCTGAGGATAGGGACTCCGATGTGGTTGAACATGGTTAAGTGTCATTTCAGGATATTTAAGGTGTCAACCGCAATCGAGAGTCGCTGAGACCATGTCGAGAGTCACCCTTCTCGTCTTCGCCCAAGTCTGAGCAGTGCGGCACCCAAGAAGATGCCCGCTGTAGAGCCAAAGCCTATATAAGAATCATGGCACCTGCAGTGAAAAAGGACTGTCGGAGTGCGAAGATGGAGCATACTAGAAGAAACTCATGTTTACTAACACCGCTTCGCGGTGGAAGCCGCCCGCACAGATTAAGTGGTAAATGTATCAGTAGCACCCCACGAGGATACGGGTTGGTTATTGGTGTGGGAAGCAGCAACTTGTGCTGTCGGAGCCGGTCTGTCTCGGTCTGTCAGTCTGTCTACACACGGACGAAAACACGCATGATTCATGATGTCAATAGTCTGTCTCGGTCTGTCTGTCTCCGTCTGTCTGTCTCGGTCGGTCTGTCTCGGTATGTCTGTATCGGTTTGTCAGTCTGTCTGTCTCGGTCGGGCAGGACACACGGACGTATGGTTGACCGATTGGCCCTTGTTTGGCCCTTGAAACATTCACAATTACTTAGACGCCCTTGATGTTTTACTCGCTTTCTTTGACAGCATAAAGATGACTCATTCCTTCTCAAATATGCTCATACCACTGGGCAGATGTGACAATGAATGAGGTGCCCATCAGCCATATATCATATACTCAGACATGCGAACACGTTTTTCTCCACTAAACGTATCCGGTTTCCCACCCCAGAAGCTCAAGGCCGGGAACACCCTACCCCGATTCCTTCGCAGCACTTGCACCAAGAAATATGGGGAACACATGCAATATCGCGCAATGCTGGAGCATCGCTTGACGACGAGGTGAAGGTAATCACGTGGTAATCACTCGGAGAACTGTTTCGAGTGGTGACCTGGGAGGGAGGCAGAAAGGGGCACAAGATGGCACACGGTTTGCAAAATCAATCACAGTTCATCACATTTCTCCAATCGCAATCCCTTGCAGGGTTGGAATTTGTGTACACCAAACGATTCAATCATATTCAATCAGGTGTTGAATCAAATCGACCACCTCTTCATTGGGGAGATGTGTTTTTTGTTTGGGATGGGCCTATCGACGGGAGCTCACGAAGACTCCAAATCTGAGAGGATTTGTTCAAGGCTCCAGTCTTCACCCTGGTCATATGGTCATATTGGGCGAGGAGAGAGAGGCAGTCCATGGCACCCGACTTCACAGGTCACCACCTGCCACTTTTAAGTCTCCCTTTCAGCCACCAGAGGAGACCTGTTGTTGGAGGGTGCTGGAGAATATGATTGCATGTTTCCTTGGGTTTCTTGTTGTTCGTGTATGAAATGGTGTGAACATCCAGATAAAAACATCTATCGGGCTCGGGAGAACCCGAAGGTCGGGGCGTAGAAGTTCTTCGGTTTCAAGGCCCAGACACCGAGCGGTTCCAAGCTGGTACTGATTGGTCCAAAAGTGAATCTGCCAAGATCCGATAAGTGCACTGACTGATCAGGACTATTCATGACTGGATGACGGTGGATGACTAGGCCTGCTCTTTGAGCCTTAGAATGAATCACATGACGGTGGGTTGAAGAAGGAGTTGAACCCTGGCAGCCCTTTTCATAGAGGATCAAGGTGAATCAAGGTTGTCATTCACGGTTGTAGCTTTCTCGCAGACTGCATCGCACATCGCAACCCCACGGAAAGATCTAAACAAAGCAACTCTTTTTGACGACTGTGGCCTTGACACGTCCAAGACTAGTACTAGTTGATACTATAGTTGGGCATTTGTTTGGTGTCTTCACAAGGCAACTTTTTGCAACAGAACAAGACCTGACATTTTTCGTGGAGAGAGTGTCGTTGCCACTGCACATTTTGCCACGAGAACTCCAAAATATAGAAGGTGCTGTTCCATGCCTTTGTCAGCTGGTTGCACATGAGTCAAGCCATGCCACGGCCACGGCCATGTGCCACTGGGGCAAGAGAATTAGTAGGGCATTGCCAGGCATAGTGACTCAGTGACAGACGACGCCAAGCAATCTATGACCAACAAGGCTTCCAGGAGTCAGATCTCCACATCATTCAGGTCTTCATTTGATTCGCTTTGCTTTATTTTCTTGCAGCCAACAAGCGTTGGTCCCAATGTCTACCATATCCATCCACACACCATGCATTGGGGGCACCATCATAGCTGGACCTTACGTCGGTCGCCTCGTCGGTGAAACAGCGCTGGTCCCTTCGGTGCGACCCCTTCCGAGGTGGTGTCGACACGGGCACGTTTCGGGTGTCATCATGAAGGTTTGACATGTCCACACCAAGGTTGCTAGAAGCTGGGCAGGCCAGTTAAAGCAGCTAGGCTGCTTTGATGTCCATCAACCCCAAATGTATCAACATGCAAAAAAGAAACTAAAACAAGAAACATGAACAACATATGGTAGAGCTCAAACAGATCAGTTTGCATGCCCTCCGAATCCTCGATGTTTCAGAAAGCACTCTATCGAAGAGGAATGCGGGAGTCCGTGTTGAAGTCGTGACATGTTCTTCATTTTCATATGAAAACTCCATTAATTCACTTGATTGAGAGACTAAACACCACCCGACACGTAACTAGTATGTGATTTGGCCCTCGAGTGAAACAGGATGGGATTTCCTGTATTTGTTTATCTGTATCATCCGTGAAGATGCTGGGATCCAACGAATTCGGTGGAACGTGGACCCTTTGGTAGAGAAACAAACCAACACATGTCCGGAACATGTTGGATGGTGAGGTGAGGAACCTGTTTGATCCTTTGGTGAGGTTGGTAAACGGACCCCTTTGGTCTTTTGAAGTCTTGAGGTCGAAGCTCCATGTTTGTCGATCCACGCATACGACCCAACGGAAGACGTTGCCCGGCTTAGACTCACTGACCCCAATTAGCAAGAGAAGCATCTTGTATCATCTTGTCCTGAATGGAACAGTATCTTAATGCTTTTTCTATATCCATTCAGAACCAGGTCAAGTCAAGGACTCTTCACGGGGTCCGACTTGATCGAACAGGACCAAGCCGCTGTCGACTCTCTAGCCGAGGATAGTAGCGCCCATGAGCGGCCATGGTGGCTCAACCCTCAGGTGGGACGTGTACCGCAGATGTGGGGGTGCTTGGGATGATGTGTGGAACCACACCATGGTAGGTGGACATTTCGATGGGTGGGCGTTTTTAAAACATATTTGTCTTGGGCTGATGGCATGCCTCCATGAATCTCACCTTCATTCCAATGGGTCGCACGTGTCCAGCGCGAAGACCACCACGATGGCTGCGCGAAGGTCGAACGTCCCGATTCGGGGCTGGAACGCCTAGGGCGTTCCGTCTTCACCACGAATCACCTCGGAACCGATCTCGGGGCATCCAGATCCGGAGAGACCAAAGTGGTTGGCACATATAAGCCGCTCAATCAAAGCGGAGGTGTTGAAGGTGAGCAGGGGACCCTGGAGTTTGACTACCAATTAAGGGAAGACCAGCGACTCGACTCGTAGCGGTCTGGACGATGCCTCGGCCCCCCTGCCAGCCTCGGACCATGCGCTCACTGGCAGCTGAAGTCCTTCCTGACTTGGAGGAGCAAGACGGCAAGACCCGACCTTGGGGAAGGTGGGCCCAGCACGACCTTCTGGAAGGCCCAGCATCTGTTGAGGCTATGCAGTCCCAGCATGGACAAGCTCATTGCCTTACTCAGGGCCCCTCAGATGCATGGACAAGCTTGGTTTATAATATCATGGTTCACTCTTGACTCTTGCTGGAATTAACATGAAAGTGGAACCCCCCTTTTTGTAGAGCAACATGGTTTTCCAAGCACCTATTGCCATGTTAGTTTCAGGGAGTTTATCATAATCTGCAGAAAGATTCAGCACGACCGAGGTGGTCACCGACATCGTGTCGGCCGTGCCCATGCTTGCAGGTGTTCCGCACATGATGACACTGCGGGTTTTCGTGGGATTTTGCCAATCCTTCCAATCAATATTGAAGACAAAGTTTGATCGGTCCTGCTGTCTATTTGAGATGGGGGCACTCCGGGAAGTCAAGTCCGGACAAACCGAAGACTTCACGTGGCATTGGTGGCATTGGAGATGTTTTTGAGCCTCCCACGCCGGAAGTCCTTCATCTGCAGGAGCCACCCGCGAACCCTTTGCGTGTGAAGCCTTGCCACTGGGCGTGGAAACGGGTCTCCCCATGGAGACGCCAAAGTGGGATGAAAGTCCCAAGTTGGTGAATTGATTCCGATGGAAACAGGTTGGCCATAGAGTCATAGAGGGGGGTCCAATGATCGAAGATGCATGAAAACGGCATGAAGACGCATGAAGACACATACGCATGGAGACGCATGGAGACAAACTTATAGTATATATACGAGGACAAACATTTGTTCTATCTACTTTGGGGCGCTGATGGTCGCTGTAACTGCTAGGAACATCCTTGGATAAGATAATTCCCATTTTCACGTGAGCTCATTCATGCAGGATGTTGATCCTGCGGTGTTGTTTCCGAAGTCCCACCCTCAGATGTTGATGTTATCGATGCGACCGGATGCTGCCAACCGGAGGCTGCCAACCGGGCCTTCGAATTCCGAATTGGTGCTAGATGCAACGATCATTTTGGCACAATAGAGTTAGAAATGGTCCCAGTCCCACCATTAGAGTTGTCGTTGTCGGTACATTCTTTAAGCATTTTGGACTTGGATATTTGCAGAAAATCACTGCTTTCATGGAACTGGGCTGCACTATGGGTATGGGAAACAGTTTTCCCTAGTTTCCCTGGTCTTATTTGTTGAGCCTGTACACTCCCAAACTGCAGCAATCTGCAGTTGGACTGTCGGAATATCGTCACATTCACGGATTCGCTGGCTTGGATTTTGAAGAAGCTGTAAGCCCTTGAGAATACAGGTGTCAATTCAATACCAGATTCACTGAGAAAACCTTCACTGGTTTGGGGCTTGGGTGCATATGAGTTTCAATGTTGCGAAACTGCAATTTGTTTTCCTGTGGTCTCCTATTGATTGTCCTGTCGCCAGAGCGTCTCAGCACCTCAATAGCTTTGGCCAACGGTCCCATGTTTGGTCGCAGCAAATGATGTGTGAAACCATGCGAAACCCTTTGAGAATCCTTGAGAAAAGAAATTCTTGGAATGGAGTTCCCGTAAAGACCAAGGTCAGACCGGACCTCTGTCCTCAGGTAAAGAGCATCATCGGGAGTTTTGGTTGCCACCAATGGCCAAGGGCCTCAAGGCGCGACCAGATGCGAAGAGGAAGCGGAAACAGTAACCGGTAACCTCAAAAGCATGGGCTTTTGCCAACATCTCGTGATTTCCAAGGGTCGAAATCGACCGGGTCTCGTCAATGTGTTACGGTTTTACTGGTTTTACCGTTCGGAAGGTGAAAGTTCGGAGTGACCCACCAGTTCACTGAGTTCCGGCTTGAGGTTTGATCTGGTCACATCTGGTCACTAGTCTCTGATAGTCTCAAGCTCCAACTTGAGTAACTCGGCTTTTGTTGGATGATGGCAGTTGCGGGTCCCTTCTGCCGGGACCCTGACTTTTCTTGGCACTCCTCAAGAGACACAAACAGAGATACATGTCCCATCACTTTGGGCCAGACTTTGATGGGTCGGCCTACCCTGACTGCAGTCAGGTGCCCTTGGATGCAGAGGTGAAGGACCAGATGGGTGGGACACGTTTGCAGAATCGGAGGAGAACAAGCCCCGTTACGGTATGCACCTTGAAGCTTCCCGAGTTTCATTTAACTGGATCCAAGAAGATGGGGAGATGACTTCTAAATGACTCAAGTGACATGGTGAAAAACCTTTGGGGTGCTTCCTGGAAGGATCTTTGCACCCAGCGAAGCACCTCTTTGCCCCACGAAGCAGTGGCTTTGAGACCTCCGCCTTCCCAAATCCTTTAGACAGAGTTTGCAGATGTATTCCCGAGGCCTTTGTTCAGCAAGCATTCATTTGACTTTCCCACTGTTAGGGATAGCGGTGCTGTGGGTCGTGTATAGTCCTGTAACGTTCTGTAGCTGAATCCACGACAGACGACTTAGCATTATTTATAGTTTGGCCAAATCCTTTGTACAGCTAACCAGATGACAAACAATAGTTGACATGCGATAGCAGACACATGCGGACACACAGATGTGGAACTTTCCTCGGATGTCAATATAAAGCCTGAATCTTCGACAAGGTTTTGATAAACGTATATATGGGAGTTGATCGAAAACCCCGTGTAAGGAGTTTTATATAAAACAGCCTTTCAGATGTTGTTAGAACCATCCGCGAAAGATTCGCGATGAGGTTCGCGAAAGTATCTTTTTTTTCCGCGAAAGATTTATCGAAGGTCATCGCTTTCATTGTTTTCCTTTCTACCGGACTGACAAAGAATAGAAACGCAAGGCAATCCTCCGGCAGAGCCAGTGGGCGGAAGTGTCCCCATATGTCACAGACTAACGAACTGAAGCCTCAACATTTCCGTGCCGAGCCCTGGCAGTGCGTAAAGGATTCTCCGATTCCTGTCCCCACTGTCACAGGCTAGCAATCTGGGTAGGCACAGCCCTGACAGTGAGGCAACGACCTGCAGCTGCTCTGACGGGCTGCGCAGATGTTTGCAAATGTTACGGCTTCCCGGGGAAAGCACCAGTGAAATTTCGCGAAAGATCCGCGAAAGTTTCGCGAATGTGCCGCTAAAGTCTAGGTTCCCAGCTTGAGGCCCCCCAACATTCCCCAAGCTGTATCACCCTGTGTTGGTAGCTGGCACGAGGATTGGGTTGAGTTGTGCCTGACTCTATTTGGCACAATTGTCGAACAGATGCTGCAAGTGACCCTGAGTAGCTGTGGAAACGTTCAACCATCTACTGGGGTCATGCTGCAAGATGTCTCTCCCTATTTTGTGGTACTATGACATGTTCCGGCTCCTGTTGGCTAGACATGGTTGTAGGACCATGCTTCGCGATGAGGCCGCGAAAGATCCGCGAAAGATATCTTTTTTTCCGCGATGAATGGCCATTCCAGGATGAAAGAATATTGATCAACCACCATATATTATATACCTTGAGAACCTCAACCCTTTAAAAAGAAAGGGTTTGCACACAGACCTCGGGTATGGTGACAAACCATCCCAAGACATCGGGTTTGGCCCGAAAACCTCGGGTTTTCCTAGTACACACATAGATTCCAGGCATTCCACCCCTCGGTGTGCCACGCGCTGCAGCCCAGGCGGTTGAGACCTTTTCCATCAAGCCGGTATGGAATCTGGGCGGGGGCCAGTGAGAATATTAGGATCTATGGTGGTGAAGTAGGATGGCATCAATCATCAAAAGACTTATGTGCAAAATATGTGAGGCTTTCATAGACATGTTGCATGATATCACCACAACTATACTCGCCTCCTAGCAAGGTCCGGCTAGATGGCTCCACAAATAGGACATCAATAGAAATGTCCATGACTATAGTGGGACATACCTTTATACTGTGATGCTCAACCAACCAGCCATGGCCAGCCCCTCGCAATGCCGGCGAGTACAAAAGCCACTGGCCAGCTCAGCCCTCAGTCCTGCAGCCGGCGTTCAGGTCTGGTGGCATCATCAATTATCACATCTCTTTTTTCATCCCCGTTGTAGGGCCCCCAATGGCTTCAATCCCACAACTTTCACACAAACAATCGGTACGTGCATGAACGCATGAACGTGTTCACTATAGCAAATGATTGCGCCATGAAAGCTGAACCCAAGACCTGAAGAGAAGAATCCATTTCCAGGCATAAGCTTTGAAAGGTGGGCACCTGGGATTTACAAATTGCTCTTTACGGCAGGGTTGCATCAACGCAGAAATGCCCCATATGCATTTAGCAGTGCATTTAGCGCATCATGTCACATACAGTATTGCGATTTGCCATTAACACGAAGATGCAAAATACAACCCCTTGATTATCATTTTAATTTGCATACTAGGCACTGAGGACACCTCCCGACGTCGCACTTTCATTTTGACAAACCCCAGAAGCTTCCGCACCCGCCAACAAATAGCCGCAACATCCGGTTGGTCTTCTGGATTGTTTCCACGCTTGCACTTGATGTAGACATTCTCGATCTCAATCCTCAATGCCTCCACGGCAGGAAGTGGCCTGGTTGTGGTCAAACTCATTCGAGTAACCAAGGGCTGCAGCACCGCCAAATTGGCAACACATGTTGGGATGTCTTCTCCGCCCTTGTCTTTGTCCAACAAGTCTTTGCCATCCAGCAGCCTATCCCGAAGTTCTTCGCTCGAGTTCCAATCCAAGTAGAGGTTTTGGATGTCCAAGACTTCATTCGAAGCCAGCTTTGGGCGACCAGCTGGCTTCTTTTTGGATGTCTCGGGGTCAGCCATGGGGATACAGACCAAACCTGAGGACCCTTGAGCACACAAATGGCGCTGGAATGTCAAGCTTTGAGTCATGACCCAATTCCATAATCCACAGAATGCTGGCATTCAGCGATCATATATGATACGATGGCAGTGTGTCATTAATTTTCAAGTTGTTGGCTACCCTACGCATTGGCAGGAAACGATCGATGAGGTGAACCGCAAGATCGCCGAGCGCAAAGCCCTCAAATCCAGTGGCGGTCCATGTTCCGAGTCAGAGGAGCCACTCCATTCCAGCTACAACACTGCACTGCACCCCAACCATAAATTTAAGTTGCCAAAGAGCCCATGTATTTTTGTCACACAGCCGCACTGTGCCTTTCCAGGAGTCCAGTGGACACGGGAATGGCTCTGAGTCCGAGGAGGAAGAGTCAGAGGGTGAGGTAGAAACGGAGGTGCCTGCTGAACCCACAGATCCTTCAAGTGGTCATGTTCCACCACCAGTCAAAGTAGAGGAAACGCAAACAACTGCAAAGAAGGAGGTTGAGATTTCTGAGCGGGAAAAAACGTTTATGAAGGAGAAGGCAACGACTACTACTCCACAGGCAAAGGATGGAATGAAGGAGGATTCCCAGGCTACTTTTCTGTACGAGGTCCCCCTAAATCCAGTGGAGGGCCCTGCCGAGCAAATTGTGGAGGAAGTGGATAAAAAGGAGGATGGAACCACCCAGGAAGAGGTCCAACCACCCGCAGCGGACATCAAACCCAAATCGGAAGTTGCACTAGTTTGCAAGCCTTCTGAACAGAGCGGCATCTTTGTTTGCAAGTAGTCGACAACTGAATTGGATAAGATTGATCCTTTTTTATGAGGTTTGAACATTGACATTGACCACTATAGAGACTAAATCCATTTCAAGGTATTGCGATGGACGAGCTCCTAAAGAAAAAGAGGAGATCAGGGAAAGGTTGGCAAGGTGTTTTGGCCAGCACGTTGAAAGGATTGATCGACAGTGCGGTATTCAAAAGAAAACAGTTTCACCTCTCCATACAGAACGAATCGATCCGTGTTCCCAACAAAACCCGATCGAGAATTGCGCTTGAGGTTGCGTTCATGTCGTTCATCTTCGAGCGGTGGTGGGTTCGCGGCGGCGACATCAAGTTCTGCTGCACCAGGTTCAGCAGGAGACGTGTATATGCATGGTCTGGTCGTTGTTTGCGCATTAATGCGAAGTTCGATCCAAGGATTTGGAGTGAATTGGCTATACCGTTTTCATTTCACCACACCACATCCATGGATTTGTGACCCCCTTTTGCCGGAGGATTGATAGCGCCAGACCAGGCTGAGACGCAAGTTCAGGAACTCGTGACTTCACTTACACCACCCAAAGAACCAGAGTGCAGCTTCATTTCTCCAGACCATTCAGCAGAAGCCAAAAGACAAACCTTCCAGTCCAAAGGAAACGCCCAAGGTCGAGACCAGATTGAGGAGACCGATGAACCTACGAAAGGTCGAGAAGAGAAAACAGATCCTAAAGAAGGGAAGTTGAAGGAAACAAAAGTCGAAACACCGGAGCCAACATTCACAGAGAGTGACCAAGAGGCCAGGGGATTGTAACCTATATAAAGGGTTGATCCTTTTGATGTCTTCAAAGGTTTCGCATATTGGATCTCAGTCGACCAGCATACAGCATACCGTTCTCTGTTCATGTTGGGCAAAGTCTTCTGCATGCGCTCACTCAAATCTTTTTGCGACAGGAACATCCTCCAAAAGCTGAGACGACGCGAGCAGATCAACTCAAGATGAAACGTAAGAAAGCAGAGTCTGAGGAGGAACAGGAACAGCCGACAAGAGGCAGAGGTCGTGGTAGGGGCCGTGGCAGAGGAAGGGGGAGAGGTGAAAAAGATGGGGAGAAGAAAACCAACCGAAAGAAAGACCTAGAGCAGAGTGAAAACCATGAACAGCATGAGCCGCAAGAGCCCAAGAAGCGATCGAACAAAAAGCAGCAAGAGTGGACAGATCAGGAATGGGCTGAATGGCAATCATGGGAGGCTGAAATCCAAGCTTGGAAGCAGCAAAGCTGGGCATACGATGAGGAGTGGAGTTTGTGGGGTGGCAAAGCAGACCAGAATCAGAAGCGTAGCAAAGAGTCGCGCAAGCAGCAGTCAACGGGAACCAGCGCGCCAGACCAAACAAAGAAACGTGCAAAGAGAGCTAGTGGGGATTCGAAGGGCGAGGACGAATCGAAACATGCCGATAAGCGCGGCAAAACAAAGAAGAGGCCCGAGGACAAAGACATGGACGCTCGAAAAGAAACGAAGGAAG